TACAGCAATTTTGATTTTATCAAGTTTTTGAAGCTAAATTAAACGATATGTATATGGTTACAACTTACAATTGATACAATGCGCGCATTATGTATCACGGCTGAAAAGTGTAGAGGTATCATATTCTGTCAAAATAACAGCGGCTAGTGCGCTCGGTCGGCAAATAGCCCAACATCGCACAAATCTCGGCACAAATCATTTCGGTTTTCAATCGCGAAATCCCACTAATCTTAGCAATTTATGGAATATTCAGTCCGAACGCCACATATGCATGAAACGTTCGTCTATCTTTAAGAGCCACGAACATATACTAGGAGATAAAATAGCAAAATTTGAGACTCGAGCGTTGGCCACTTTACAGTCTTTACGCTCAATACAGCGTACAATTTACAGCTCACTATGTTTGTATCAGACATATGCAATCGACATAGTTATTCGCGACGTTCGTGATAGGGACTATAACACTTCCAAAGCTAATAGACCTACACTCAATAGGCCCTGGGGACGAGGTTGATAGACCTATATCCTAACTTAAGACATTTTATCATCAAGCAATACATATATAGACTTATTAGACTATACGAAACGGAAACATTTACTTGTATACAATAGATAACAGCTAGATAAGAAACAGCAATACAGCATGTATATTATTTTATTACTGCGGGAGATTTGTTGCGTTAAATTCTCCTGTATTTATGTAGCGCATAAAAGGAAACATTAAGAAAAAAATATTAAAAGTAAAAATAATATTTTCGTGAAAAAATGCGTTTTTAGCATATTTTATGACCCACGACTTTACCCACGACTTTACCCACGACTTTACTCACGACACACGACTTTTAACCCACGACACACGACATATAGGGACACTCCCTTGCTCGGATGTACAAATTGTAAAAGTGTGAAACTTATAACATTTCATTTTCATAACGTAGACCAGCTGCGCAACCAGCCAATTAACGACGCGTCACCTCAAAGTTCATTAAACGGACTTACAAGTGAACAGATATTCGAGAAATATTCCAAATGCTTTGACGGATTAGGACGCATATCAGACCCTTATCACATTAAGATTAACTCTGACGCAACGCCTGTTGTTCATCCACCTCGTAAGCTTCCTTCAGCGTTGAGAGATCGAGTCCAGAACGAACTACAAGAAATGGAATCCAGGGGAATCATTAAGAAAGTAAACGAGCCCACGGCATGGGTAAACTCCATGGTAGTTAACGAGAAACGCTCGGGAAAATTACGCATATGCATCGATCCACGAGATCTCAACAAAGCTCTGCGTAGAGAGCATTACCAACTCCCCACACAGCAGGAGATAACAAGCCGCCTGACAGACGCCAA